GGTTTTACAAAAATTGTAGCAGTGGAAAGAGATAACCAGTACTGGAGATATAGAACAGCAAGGTTTATTCAGCACTGTGCTAAGCAGAGTTTTCTCCAAAGGCTGAGCACAGTTCTTCATTCTCAGTATCTTTTATTCAGCACAGACAAGACTTCAGGGTTTTAAGACTTTTCTGTTCAAGCAGCCCAGATTCCTTCTCCCTTTCTCAGGTGACTCAGATTCCTACTACAGCTGCTGACTGTTCCTACTACAGCAAGATTACATAAGCAGAAATCAGCAAGCTGCCGCTGTTAACAGAGATGAAAAGGAGCCAGGAACAGTGGTGCATGCCTGTAACTCCAGCAGCTCAGGAGGATGAGGCAAGAGGACAATGAGTTCAAAGCCAGCCTCAGCAACTTAGTGAGGCCCTAAACACTCAGTAAGACCCTGTCTCTAAATAAACTACAAAAACAGGAGGGGATATGGCTCAGTGGTTAAGTGCCCCCTGAATTCAATCCATAGTACCTTCTGCCCCAATATACAAATAACAATAAATGCTGGTGAGGATGCATGGGGAAAAGGAATCCTTATATATTGTTGGGGAGGATATAAATTAGCACAGCAACTATGGAACTCAGTATGGAGGTTCCTCAAAAAAACTAAGAATTGAACTACCAAATGATTATCTATACCACTCCTTGTTATTTATCCAAAAGAATTAAAGTCAGCATATTACAGTAATAAATGTCTACCCATGTTTATAGCAGCACAATTCACAATAGCTGAACTGTGGAACCAGCCTAGGCATCTGTCAATGAATGGATAAAGAAAATATGATATATATACATAATGGAGTTGTATTCAGCCATAAAGAAGAAATGAAATTGTGTCATTTGAAGGAAAATGGATGTAACTTGAGAGCCTATGTTAAACAAAATAAGCCAAACTCAGAAAGAGTCATAAGTTTTCTCTCATGTGGAAGCTAGAGAGGAAAAAGGAAAAGAAAGGTGGATGTAGGAGATCTCATGAAAATCAAAAGGAAGCCGGGTATGGTGGCTCATGCCTGTGATCCCAGTGGCTCGGGAGGCTGAGGCAGGAGGATTGAGACTTCAAAGTCAGCCTCAGCAACTTAATGAGACCCTAAGTAACTTAGTAGGACCATGTCTCTAAAAATAAAAAATATAAAAAAGGGCTGGGGGGCGTGGCTCAGTGGTTAAGTGCTCCAGGGTTCAATCCTTGGTACCTGTCCCCACCCCCCAAAAAAGAGAAAAGAAGTGATATCTAGGGAAGAGAGGAAGGGAGATAAAAGAGAAATGATGAGGAACAATGTTGACTAAATTATGTTGCTATATCATATGCATGTATGAATATGTAATAACAAATCCCATCATTAGTATAATTATAATGCACCAATAAAAATAAACTAAAGGTGGCAAATGCCTGTAATCCCAGTGGCTTGGGAGGATGAAGCAGGAGGATAGCGAGTTCAAACCCAGTCTCAGCAACTCAGTGAGGCCCCAAACAATTCAGTGAAATCTTGTTTCTAAATAAAATAAAAAAAAGTGCTGGGGATGTAACTTGGTGGTTAAGTGCCCCTGTGTTCAATTCCTGGTACCAAAAACAAAACAATAACAACAACAACAAGAACCCCAAAACCAAAAATCCCAAAGGGTTCTCCAAGGCAGCACTAGTCAAAGTGCTAGTCAACGAGGGCTGGGGATATAGCTCAGTGGTTGAGTTCTTGTCTAGCACGTGTAATGCATGCAGTCCAATCCCCAGTACCCCCCCCCCCCCCCCCCCCGAAAAAAAGTGCTAGTCAGTGAGGAGACCAGGAGCATATGCAAAGATATAAACCAAACAAATCAAACATTGTTTCCTTTATGGAGATAGTGCTATCAACTGCACTAAATAGTGTGCTTGGTGAGAGAGAGTTCACCGCTTTGTCAAGATCCTTACTTTGTCACAAACCAGACATAGATTGCAGACCAGCTGCCAGTCTCAGACTATAGTTGTCTTCAAAAGGTTACAAATTATGGCTCTAGGGGCAAATATGATTCCTTACATGGAGGATAATATCCTAGTATGACAATGAAGGTCATGTGGTCATCTTTCTGATTTACTTCCAAGTTTTAGATAATTTTTCTTGACTTCTGTTATTTTATTTTCTCTTTTCACTAAGTACTATGCTTTTAAATTCCATCCACATGAATATGTACATCTACTCTACTTTTTTATGGCTGCATAATTCTCCATGGTGCTCTCCTAGTTATAGACATTCCAGCTCTAAACCACCAGAAATAATTATGCAAAGAATTACTTTGTACATGTCTCCAAGTATGGGCTCTCCTTATCTTTTCCCAAGACTTACAAGTTTCCTAAGTGTCTCCATATTCTCAACACTACCTATTAAATCTCTAAGTGCAGTTCCCAAACCTTTGATAGTCCACCATAGCTACAGAATTAAATACTCTTATTTCATCCTGGGATTCTACTCCTAATTATCTTGCTTTGTTTCACACTCTGCTATTCATAATCTGTACTCTGGTCAAACTGGAATACCTCTTTCTGGTCTTCTCACATCTGATTATTCCATTCTCCCTTGGATGCATTTCTTTGAATTTGCAACTGTCAGATGCTGCCAATCTTCAAATATAATCCCCTTTATACAAAGCTTTCTCCAAATCTTGTTTTATTTTCCTGATCAGAAATTTCAAAACATTTTGTTAATCTGTCTTTTTTGGTATTGTTCTACCTTTATTATAATTATTTATATGCCTGTGTCAAAATATTAGACTTCCTCTGTTTGGGTTATTTTCCACAATCTTCAGCATAGTGCTTCATTTGCCACACATGTTGTTTAAATACACACTTAACTGAATTCTGGGCAACTCCCCAAATTAAGAAATTGTGGATACAAGGAAACAAAAAACAGTGATTGTAGTTGCTGGAGTTCAGAGGCTCATTTGTATAGAACCCTTAGAAATGCATAGGAAATAGGAATTAAGCTGAACTTTAGAAGAAAGGTCAGGATTTAGTAACATATCCCTGGTTACACAGCTTTCTATAGTAGGCAGGAAATAATAACTAACATAAATGAACATTTAACTATGTGCCAAGCACTGTTGTATAGGCTTTACCTATATTGGCTTTTAATCTTCATATCAGTTCAAAAGAATATAACAACAATGAGTGTTACCCATTTACAGATGAGAAAACTGAAATCCAGACAGGTTATATATCATTTGTTCATGATTATAAAACAAGTAAATGTTAGATGTATGAATAAAACTGAGGTAGTCTGTCTTCAAAGCTTGTACTTTTTGTGTGTGGGGGGTGGGGTGGGGGACTAAACCCAGGGGTGCTCTACCACTAAGTTACACCCCTATCCTTTTAAACAATTTTTTCCATGGCTGTCCAGGATGGCCTTGCAGTTGGAATCCTCCTGCCTTTGATTAGGAAGTCCCTGGGATTACAGGAAAAGCTTACACTCTTTTCTTTTTTGCACTACTGGGGCTTGAACTCAGGGGCTCTCTGCCACTAAACTACATACCTAGCCCTTTTTTCTTTATTTTTATTTTGAGATACTGGCTTACTAATTTGCTGAGGCTGGCCTGGAACTTTGGATTCTCCTGCCTCAGCCTCCCAGAGTGCTGGGTTTACAGGCCTGTACTTCCATCCTGGTTCAAAGTTTGCACTCTACATTACCCTAAGCTGACTTTGTTGATGGAAATTAAACCCCAATTTTATTAGACTCTCTACAGGTGTAAGGCTAGACAAGGGAAAACCATCTAATTTCTCTTTCATGAAAAGTGGCATGATTGAGAGCCAAGAGTTTCTGGAATATAATGTAAAATGTCAAATCCTATAGTTTTTACACCACATCATTCACAACTATGTGAATGGGATCCTGCTGGGCATGGGGGCACTCACCTGTAATCCCAGCAACTCAGGAGGCCGAGACTGGAGGATCCAAAGTTCCAGGCCAGCCTCAGCAATTTAGCAAGAACCTAAGCAATTTAAGGAGACCCTGTCTCAAAATAAAAACTAAAAAAGGCTGGAGATGTGGTTCAATGGTTGAGTGCACCTTGGTTAAGTCTCCAGTACCTCCCCCCCCAAAAATCCTAATTAGAATAATTTATACTCCTTGTGTGTAAAATATCAAAATACACTCTACTGTTATGTATATCTAAAAAGAAGAAAGGAAAAAATACAAAAGGAAAACACCCATTGTTTTAGAAGGCCTTCAGTACATTAAAGAGATTGTCCTCCTTAGCATTTAGCTAATTTTTACATGGCAATATTAATAGAATAAAAGCTCATGGAGACACAATTGCCACGGTAACTGCAACTTCCTGCACAATTTCCGGTGTAAAATAATAACAACAATGACTAACAATGGTGTTTATTATTTGCAAGGCATCCTTCCAAAGGCTTTACATGCGCTACATTTTATTCCTCAGCAGGACTTCTTGAGGTAGGTACTATTATTAGTACTAATTTTGTACATAAAGAGCTCGGACACAGGAAAAGGTTCAAAAATGGTCACACGGCAGGTGAGGGGCAGGGCCGGGAGCTGAACCTAGAAATCCCTATCAAGGACCCCTCTTTTAAGTCGCTTTCTACCTACTGCCTGCAGGAGTCAACTGCAGTCTGTTCCGGTAACCGGTGGGGCTGTGCAGAGAGAGAGGGCTCGTCACTGTTTTGTTCTACCGAGGCTTTCGCTCCGGTTGGAGGCCGGCCTCTGCCAGGAATCACCAGGGCGCTGAGCGGTCCCGTCTGGGGGGATCCAGGACCCTCATCCGGGAGCACCCGGGCAGAGGACCGAATGGCAAGCCCGCCCAGCAGGCCACTCTGCTCAACTGTCCTCAGGGGACAAACCAGCCACCCGGGAACAGAAACGAGCGGGGCCTCTTCGGAGATCGGGATAGGGAAAGGGGCGGGAGGGAGAGCGGCGCAGGGCCCGGCCGGTTGGAGGAGGTGCCCGCGCGGCGCGAAGGGGAGGCGGGACGGGGTGGACTCACAGATCCAGGAGCTGACTGACCGACCCCACGTGAGGCATCGCGGCGGCCCTCAGAAGCCTCTTCCGCGGCCCCAGGACCTCTAGAACCCGGCCGGGGGCGGTCCGACAACTCCCCCGCCTCGCGGCGCGTAGGCCCTGGTGACGTCACACGGTTCCGGTGTTCGGGGCGTGGCCACGCCCGGAACTTCGAGGGCAAGAATAGAGCGCGCTCGCAGCCGAGCTCGCAGGTGGGGAATCCCTAAGCTTGGAGCACCACGACGGGAGGCGTAGTTCTTCCACCCGCGGGCGGCGAGGCGGATCGCTCAGCGCCGTTTGTCTGGAGGTCCAGACTTACGGCTTCCGGACTTTCAGCCTTCTGCTCAGCCCAGCCTCGAGGTCGCGAGTCAGGAAGTCTCCCCTGACAAAGCGAGTGCTAAAGGATGCGTTGGATGCTGGGCCATGCCCGTGGTGATGCACTGGGGGACATCCCCACTCCCCCGCCCTTGGATACTGACTCCACTGCCTTCAAATGGAGCATTTTAGAAGATCCGAGAGTGACTTTACTGAGCAAGTCACATGAAACACGCACCGAGCTATGTGCCTTCCGTGCTTTTGTTTCAACAAACCATACTCATAATTCCTGGGAGATCGGAATTGTTTAGTTCTATTTTGCAGATGAGGACACGCCATCAACAAACTCAATAAACATTTCATGGTGGAAGACGACAGGATTGCAAATCAGGAATTATTTAAAAAGGCGGAGCATCTTTCTCTAGGTGGAATTCTTTCTGCGTTTCTTTTCTAGAGCACTGTGGAGAGGGGGCAAAATTGCGATGTATGCAGTGGAGGGAGAGAAATAAAGAATGTCCATGCGCTTCTTCCCCTTTTAATGCTTTTTTCACTCAATACAATTTCACTCTATATGTTCTTAACCAAGAAAAAGACAATCCTTCATGCTAGGCATTGCAATAGATATAATCCATCCACAGCAAACAATTCTAGATTAATTCTAAGCACCGCAAACACACTTAATCCTGACAGACATTCCCTATGCGAGCTAAATTCAACTGTCAGACCAAAAGTCTCAAGCCTTAGGCTTTACTTCCAGCAGATGCATACCCACTCAGACCACAGTGATCAGGTCCAGAATCAAAGCAGGTTTCTCCCGGTGTGGAGTGGACGACTGGGTCGTAGGGAGAAGTTATGGCTCTCACCAAAGGAAGAGGATCAGAAAAACGATGACAAGTGATGGGATGTGAGGTCCTTATCAGGCTCTCCAGCTTGAGCGTGTCCTTGGTTTCTGGTTGAATTCCTGTTCGTTACCTCTATTGTTTACACTAAATTTTGGGGCTTTTGACCCCTCCCCCTTTCAATCCTTATCAGCTACCACTGGATTTTTCCATGACATCATTTACATCAGAAACATCTGGTATGATGGTCTCCACTCTGATCTTCTCGCCTTTCCCTCTGTTTATCAGGGTGAGGGGAAGTAACTTGTCTGAGGCCATACTGGAGGGCTCTTTAGGTGTGCCTGATGAGACTGGAGTTTTTAAAATGGAGTTGCTTAGGCTCAGGCCTAAGGCCATCCTCACAAGTACTTACTAGTTTTTATTGCTTTTTCATTCTTAATTTGATTAATTAGATTAATTTGTTGGTGTTGGGTTTGGATGTGAGATGTCCCCCAAAAGCTCATGTGTGAAACAATGCAAGAAGGTTTGGAGGAGAAATGATTGGGCTAGCCTGAGTCTAATCAGTGAATTAATCCCTGATAGGATTAACTCAGTGGTAAATGAAGGCAGGTGGGGTGTGGCTGGAGGAAATGATTGGGGGCATATTTGTATCTGGCAAATGGAGACTATCTCTGCTGAGACAGAGCTGCTGTCTCAGCTCACCATATGAGCTGCTTCCCTATGCCACACTCTTCCTCCATGATGTTCTGTCTCACCTTGAGTCCCAAGCTCACATGGAACCTGCTTCTATGAACTAAGACCTCTGAAACTGTGAGCCCTCAAATAAACTTTTCCTCCTGTACAATTGTGCTGGTTGGGTCCTTAAGTCACAGTGGCAAAAAAGCGGACTAAAACAGTTGCTTATATGTCAAACTCCCCTTTGATAGCTCCTTCAATTTTGAGATCTTGGCTTTTCAGGATGCTTCTTATTCAGTCAACTTGCATTCATTAAGCCCTGCATGAAGGCCAGGAAGTACTCGTGTTCAAGTAACCCTCAGAACAGGGTTGTGCTGGATGCTGAGGATTCATTGGTGCACACCTGCTCCAGACAAGTAAAAGGACAGTGTAACTCAAGTGCTAGGATAGGGTTAGTTCTGTGGGTGAACCAGTGGTGTGTAGTGTATATAGGTATAGGTGGGAGGATGGTCTGTATATGGTTTCGGATGGCTACACTGGACAGTGACAAGAGATGAGTGAAGGATGAGGTTTGTAAAGCTTTTGCTATAAAGGGCCAAATGGTAATATTTTAGGTTTTGTGGGCCCAATGCTTAGTCACCACACCTCAACATATAACTGAACAGCATCCATAGACAGTCCTAATGGGCAGGTCTGTGTTCCAAAAAACTTTATTACAGACACTGATATTTGAATTTCACATACAGTAGTGCCCCTCGTCTATGGGGGCTATGTTCCAAGACCTTTACGGGATGTGGATAGTACCAAACCCTATATATACTATTTTTCCCCCTATATATAACATACCTATGGCAAAGTTTAATGAAAAATTAGGCACAATAAGAGATTAACAACCAGCTGGCAATGGTGGCCCTCTCCTATAATCTCTGACTCAGGAAGCTGAGGCAGAAGCATCACTAATTCAAGACCAGCCTAGACAACTTATTGAGACCCTGTCTCAAAACCTAAAAAATAAATAAATAAATAACATCAGTAACTAATAAAAAGCTATAACATACTCTAATAAAAGTTATGTGAACATGGTCTCTTGTACAAAATATTGTACAGTACTCACCTGTGTGTGTGTGTATGTGTGTGTGTGTGTGAAGACGTGAAGTGATACAGAGCTTACATGTTGAGATGAAGTGAGGTGACAGGTGCTGACACAGTGCTGGACCACTGCTGGCCGACCTTTCCCTTGGTGTATAGGAAGCCATTCTGAGTAGGAAGATGAAATATTGTACAGTTGCATTTTGTCCTGCCTGGCACAGGAACCATCCCTTGGTCCAACAAACCTGCCTGTTAATCGCTTAGTATCTGGTTATCAGACCGGCTGTCACAGTATTGAAGTACTCATGTTCAAGTAACCCTCAGAACAGTGTACAGTTTGACTTATGAATTGTTTATTTCTAGGATTTCCATCTAATATTTTGGGACCATGGTTGACCATGGATAACTGAATCATGGATTCAAGAATTTGCAGGCTTATACCAACCAAAAAATCATGATACTCCTTCAGCCACAAGTATTTGTTCAAAAATTGGCTCATGGGTCTAGGACTCATTTGAAGCCAATACAAAGCAAGAAAAAGTTTGCTGGAGATTTCTGGGAAAGAAACTTCTAAACTTGTGACAATGCTTTGTAAAGTAATACCCTCTTTTCTTAGCCCTGTCGTGTTGAATGAAATTTAAGACACTAGGTGGCAGTAGTGGAAGACCAAGGTAGAGTATGAGAATTACAAAAGAACAGCCAGGATCCTGATTGAACCATGCCCGAATACTGCTCTTTTCTCTCTACTTGTTACACAATTCAGCAAATTCTCTCTGTTGTTGCTAAAATCCATGGAGTTGATTTTTCTGTTTCTTGCTGCCCCAAACATTCTATTACAACATTCATACCAGGAGTCATCAGCATATAGGTAAAAACTAAAGGTATGGGAATGGATGAGCTCACTTAACAGATATAAGTAAGAACAACCATAACAAAAAGTCTTTGGAGAGATATGTTGGGAACACATTTATTGGCTGGAAATTGACACTAAGGACTAGCCCAAAACCAGGAAATGTGGTGTTACAGAACATAAACAAGTGATCAAAATGGTCACATACAACTGAGAGGTTAAGTGGGGTAAGCCTTGAAAGTGATTTAACAATAGGAAAGTTACTGAGGGTTTATAAGGTGGTAGTGGAGGATGCAAACTGATCTTAATGAGGAGAATGAAGAAAAGTGAGGAAATTAACACAGAAGTAGTCCAGTTCTCACATTAAATACTTATAGGAATGAATTGATACCTCCATTTAGATGCATACATACTGAGAAGAAAAATATTGTTTGCGGATGTAACTGTACTTGAGAGAAGGTAAAATGCAAACATTCAGAACCATTATTTATGGAGCTTCTCAGTGTCAAGCATGGTAAATATTTACATGATCTCATGTAATCATCAAACAGGTCTGAGGTATAGTACTACTTTATAGATGAAGGTCAGAGCTTACACAAAAGGGCCTGTCAGGGTCCCAAGATCATGCTCTTTCTACTCCCTCTGGGTGTCCAGAAGAAAGGTTTAGGGTATATCTAGGATCAGCAGTATAACTGGGGGAGCCCTTTTTTAGAGATTCATGGTGATAGCAGAGCATTAAACCAAGGGCAAGTAAGGCTCCTGTGACTGACTGCATGTGTCCCAGTTATGGTTTAGATGTGAGGTGTCCCCCCAAAGCTCATGTGTGAGACAATGCAAGAAGGTTTGAAGGAGAAATGATTGGGTTACAAGAGCCTTAACCCAATCAAGTGAATTAATCACCTCATAGGGTTAATCGAGTGGTAACTAAAGGCAGGTGGGGTGTGGCTGGAGGAGGCAGGGCAGTGGGGTCAGCTTTAGGGTATCTATTTTGTATCTGAAGAGTGGAGTCTCTGCTCTTTGACCATCATATGAGCTGCTTCCCTCTGCCACACTCTTCCACTATGTTTTTCTCCTCACCTCAAGCCCCAAGGAATGGAGGCTGCTGTCCATGGACTGAAACCTCTAAAACCATGAGCCTTCAAATAGACTTTTCCTCCTCCTCAATTGTGCTGGTCGAGTCTTTTAGTCACAGTGGCAAAAAGGCTGACTAAAACACCCACTGATAAACCCAGCCTAATTCCCTCTTAAGATCAGGAGCCATCTTGTCATAAGTTATAAAAGATTCATTTCTGTTTTCTGTAAAATATTAAGATTTCTATTTAGTCTGGCCGTATTTTGATGTTTCAAACTTA